ATGTTGTTCATCATTCAGTTCCCCGGTGGCTAGTGGCAGATCTAAGACTTTTGATCAGTGGGGGTAAGCATTGCCATAACATCTTAGTAATAAAATTTGAGTAATTAAAGCAAAACTGTTGAGATTTAAAATACTTTCACTCTAAACATTTTAAGAAAGATGGATACATAGGCCTCTAAAAATTAGGGGTTGTAATTTTCATAAAAAAAAATGGTTAGGATTCACTCTTCCCAATGCAACAATGGTTAGGATGGTTTTGCACAAAAAATCTAGGGATGGTAATTTGTAAAGTGCCAAAAGAGATATCTCCTCAAGTGGTGTGTTTCTTCCTTCAAGAATATTAGAGTGAACAAAGATAGAAGGGAATACCTAATTCATCTCCTCGATTTCCTCCTTCACTGTCCAACAACCTGCTCCAAGCTAGGGTTGTCAATGGACCAGGTTTGGATTGGACCTGTCCAAATCAAAATCAATTTGAATGGGTTGGACAGTTCAATAAGACACATTGAATTGGATTGAATTGGACTAGTCCAGACTTAATGGTTCAAAGTATTTATTGGATTGGATTGGACCTAGTTCATCCATAATGGATTTATATTGGATTGGATTAAGTCGAACCAATATCCGGTCCATTAAAAGAAGATAAGGATAGGTGTTAATGGGCCAGGTTTGGGTTGGATCCAATTTGAATTAAAACCATTTTGAACAAGTTGGATGGTCCAATTAAGACATATTGAATTGGACAAGTCCAACTTAATGGTCCAAAGTATTTATTGGACAGGATTGGACCTGGTCCATCTGTAATGGACTCATATTTGATTAGGTTGGGTTGGGCCAGTCTTCGATCCATTAACAACCTAACTCCAACCCTAAATTTGAAAAGAGAATAAATGGTTTGAATTACCCCATTAGTTTTCAGGAATAATGCTTGTAAGTAGTGCCAGCCCAGGGTCATAAATAAAAATAAATAAATAAATAAATAAATGGGAGAAAGACGGTTCAGCCCAGGGTCAGAATTTATAGGCACAGTTGGGGTAGGTGCCAGCTCGGAATTGATGCCAATTTACGGGCGAGCGTTGGTGCATAGAGCGTGGGTTGTTGCCATTTTGAATGTTTATATAATTCTGCAGTGGAAATCAGAAATCTGCATTGGGCCTGTCCATACTTCTCCGTAAATAAATTGACTCCTTATTGTTTTATTTGAGTGGAGGAAAATATGAAAAAAAAATTTACAAATTTTCAAATCTCTATGGGGCAATTTCCCATAGCGGCATATGCACGGATCCGCCTAGCCATATCATCTCAATTTCCACTCATACCATTGGACTTACCACACCATCTGCCTAATTGAATTTAACCCATCCCGATCATGAGTTGAGATCAGTCCCCCACAAGATAGTTTCCCACAAAGTCCCACAACACATCCCGCCATGTAGGGTTGTCAATTGGACTGGATTTGGTCCAATCCAATCCAGTCCAATGTGAGTCCATTATAAATGGACCATGTCCAATTCAATCCAATGAATTTTTTGAACCAATTAGGACCGGCCCAATGCAATGTCTGGATCGTCCACTTTGTTCAAATTCATTTTGATTTAGATTGGTTTCAATCCAAACCCGGTCCATTGACACATATATTCTTATCTTATATCAATGGACCAGATATTGGCTTAATCCAACCTAATCCAATATAAATTTGTTATGGGCGAACCAGGTCCAATCCAATCTAATAAATATTTTAGACTGGATTGGTCAAATCCAATATGTCTTATTGGTCCGTCCAATTCATCGAAATTGATTTTGAACTAGATGGGGTCCAATCCAAAATCGGTCCATTGACACCCTTACCGACATGTATTGAGGAACATCTCCCGATGATATAAGTTTCACTTGGTTTCTCAAAACCTGAACCCCGATCTAACAACCAATTGTTCCAATTGAACACATTGCACTATCAACATTGACAACACCCTTGTTTCATCTCCATTGCTTTTTTTTTTTTTTCTTTTAATATGCTTCTTAACTACATCTTTCTTATTTTCTTTGCCTTATTCACTTTTTCAAGCATCAATCATAATAACTTCATCCCTGATAATTGCATTGTCAACTTGCATCGTTTCAACATGATGTAAAATTGGTTCCACTAGGGTTTATCATCCAAACCATGAATCGATGAAGCAACCTTCTCCCCTATATCCTTCTTTGAAACTTGTTGCTGAGAACTTGGTCATCGTCCATAGTTTCCTCTTCTATAATCACCGGAGTAATTGAGAATTTCCAATAGTGGAAATTGGATCAAAACCTTTTATTATATTCCTTGTTTGTTTCTAAATTTTCTCCTGTTTGTTGCTTCATTTTGCCAATATATCCTTAGTTTTTATCTCCAGGGTTTATGTGATGCTAACAAACCCAATAACAAGAAAAATGAATGGAAAGTAGAGAAATAGGAAGAAAAATGTAAAATAGAATAATACAAAGCATTTCCTACTCTCTATATCTCCCACACCCACGGACTCTTTTTTTGGCACTCAAGATACAAGATTACTTCTTGTGAAAAATACAAGGCCATTTTATAGGTCAGCCCCAGTACAAAATTGCTAAGTAATGGATTTCATGAGTCTCGCAAAATTCGTTACTAGAGTACTACAATTCTGGGATTTGTAAGTTCCACATGCGAATCCAACCTGCAAATCAATATGAGTAGCAATTCCTGCCTACTTTCGATTCGGGATAACTTGTGAGTCCCAAGTGCAACGACCTCAATATTGTGAGTTAATATCTTTACTTCTACAATATATTATTACGAAATTTTGCCTTTTGGTTTGTCTCAACTTTATTTAAATTAGATCATGAAGCGGATTCACAATTAGAATTAAGGCACCAACATAACAATTGCTTTCAACTTACCATTGTTTGGCTTTGGTATGCTTCTAGGCTCCTATCTGTAACGTTGACTGCAATATTTTGGTATTCTCTCATATACAACTAAAGCTGCCAAAACCATCTCTACCGTTACGGATTAAACATGAGCGGAAATAGTTTTAGATGGTGATATAATTATTGGATCAAAACTTAAGAACAGGGCGAATTGCTTGTACTAAGGTTTAAAATTTTGATATGTATCAGTCATATGTATCGTATTGGGGGTTTTCCGATACATCCCTCCAGGGGGTGTTTTGGGATTTTGACTGATTCAGGGGTGAACGGACCTTAAATCGACCCCTTTGAATCAGATTTAAAAAAAAAAACTATCAATACTGCCCGATACATCTCTACTGACGTATCAATATTTTAAACCTTGACTTATCAACAAACCTTCACTATAAAAATGACAAGAACAAAAAGTTCATCCATACTGATACCATAGATGGTTCCCATCCTTAAACAAAATTCATTGTCAACTTAAACAATCTAAATAAAAAAAAAATCTTTATTTCATCAAAAGGTTCACGAATATAAATCTTAAGATAATCTTCCTTTGCCCAAAATCTAATCATGACTAATACAATAGAAACACAACATAGGAAAAGCATTACCAGCTATATCAGCTAATAGAATGCAATATAGCTCCCAAGAGGAAGTTTCCATTGAATCTATTCTTCTATTATGACCTTTGCTGCTGATCCAGTGTACTGCCTGGTTCCCCTCTTTGTGAATGTGATTGTAGGTGTTGTTGAGATTGGTTTCCCTAATGGCTTTCTTGTACTTCTCCTTGATCGATTGGCATCTCCATGAAGAGTTTCCCATTCCTTGAAGTAATTCTATAGAGGTCTTCGAATCACCTTCAATTAATGCTTGCTTTGCTTCCAATTCCTTCGCTATCATGTGGGCTTGGAGACTTGCTTTCATCTCAGCTAGCGTAATAGTGGTTTTTCTAATTGAACCAGATCTAACTTTTAAAGTTTCACCCTTGAAAATTTTGGCTATATCATATATAACCATAAGTGCAATTGCCATTAGCTCTTTTTGATGAATCAAAATTAATAATATTTATTTCATTTGGGTTAGGAGGAGTCCATTGAAGATTGAACCCAATGTTTTAAAAACCGATATGGAACCAAAACCACTTTCATCACTCCTTTTTGGGTCAGTGGTTCAACTGTCCAATTCGAATAGATGATTCATTTTAAATTAAAAAAAATAACAATTAAAATAAAAAAGAGATAAAAAACTGTTATCTGAATCAACTGTTTGAGTCAATCAATTGTTGACCAAGTCAATTGTTTTTGGCCAAAGAACAAATTTAGAATAAAATGGAACCCATTGCTAGATAACTCCTGGTCTAACGGTCCGACCGTCCAAGTCAAGGACGGTTTGAAAACTTTGATTGAACCCATTACCCATCCATTGGATTTTCTTTTAGCTCATCACATGCTGATTCCATAAAAAGGGCAGAAATGAAAAAATTGGCTTTGGCGTCGCCCGGATTCGAACCGGAGACCTTCAGTGTGTTAGACTGACGTGATAACCAACTACACCACGACACCACTTTTACTTTTTTATATATGTATATAATCCTAATAATCTCTAAATCCGTAATCTCGAAGGGACCAATTACCAGTGGGCATGTGATTACCAACATACATGTTTCTGCGCTTGTTTCTGTCTGCTCTGCTGGTAGTCGATTTCACTGGTTAGTCGTGAAATTTTGATTTTGCACCAAAACTCAAAACGCAGGATTAGTTGTTGGATTTATACTTTTTTGCTTGAGTGGGTTCTATTTCTCTAACTTCTTTTTGGCCGTTTTGTCTCTGTTATATTGGGAGATTTGTTATGGCTATTCGGTGTCTGTTTCGTTGATAGATGCGAGTGTTTTTGTTGCCATACCGCTGARTCTCTGTCCGTTGGTTTCGCCTTAATTTTTGGTGGGCTTTGTTGCAATTGAGTGATTTTGTGGAGTTGGGTTTCTGGTCTTAATGATGGGTACTGCTTCTGCTCAGTGCCCATCTCGAATTGGTGCTCTTGTCCATGGACAAATTCGAGTTTCACCTACAAAAATGGAGTTCTCGAGGTTTTGCAGTCCTTGGAGAAGGGAATTTCTCAGGATGAGCCTGAATTTGGGTTCTTCTTCCACGAATTCTTCTAAGGTATATCCTCAATCGACGTTTTTGTTTAATTTATTTGATACTTGTAATTATGTACTTACCATTGAAGCTGAAACAATTCTGTAGTTCTGATTATTCTTATGTAACATTCATGGGATTATGGATGTATTCTTACAAGTTATAGTCCTTTCTTTCGTTTTCCAATTTGTTAATTAAGTTGAAGTCATGTAATTCTGATTATGGAGCAGGGATTGTGTTGTTGAGGTTTGTTATTGAGAGACACGCCCTCTATACATCTAATAGATGTGTGCATGCATGTTTGTATGTTTCAAAAGAGCTTCGAAACCGAGCTCATACTCTAATAAAATGAGTGTATCCTGAATGCTAAATGGGATTTAATTACTTATTTCTGCATCCTGCCAAAATTATCATTTTATATGAGTCCTCAGCAGAACTCTTCTCTCTACAATTGGGTTTAAAATCCCTATGACTTGGTATCCTTGGGTCCTGACATACTGAGTCTGGTATTATTTGGATTAGTCTAAGTGAGCATTTTGGATGGATTCTCAACATGGTGGTTCCAAATCCTGACACCTTACCGAAACACAGCTAGGTTCAGATATTTTTCTTTTCATTCTTTCACCTCTATTTTGACCTGTTTGAAGTAAACTATTATTTTGTTGGTGACTATTTTTTGTGGTTTACTGCTGAATACTAGGCTTGACAAGCACGTTTGAATTCCATATTATGAACTACAAAGAGATTTTGATATTTAGCAGCTCACTTTATGATGAACAGAAGTCTAGACACCGAAATGTTGTCAGACAGTAAGCTTTAAGTGAGGATGAAAGATTCTGGCTGTTACAGGTAAATTCTGAATATAGTTTTGCATGCATGGGTTTGAGTAAGGTTTAGGAAGTTTTAATTTTATTGTTGTTTGGGATGGAACACGGATTGACATGAAGTTTGATGGAGAAGTAGATATGGTGGCAGAGTATCACATTGAGGGGGGAAAAGAATTATTTGGGCTGTACATATGGGTTTTGAAATTTACTGTTGCCAACACGAACAAAATCAAATTGAATAAAAAGATAAGAACTGGGGGGTGGGGGATCTGCAAGCTAATATCATTATTTTAAAAGGATCTTGAGTGTAGAGGTGTAGAGCCCCACTATCTTGAAGCCTCATTTTATGTAGTAAGGCCACCTAGAACAGATAGTAGTTACACCTCAGTGAGTGACAGGCTGACAGCTATTAGCAGGATGGGATGTTGTGAAACTATTCTTCTATTACATGTCTATTTTCAAAAAGTAGAGGCATAGAGGTATTGATATGGATAGAGTACTTGTCTGATTCTTCAAACTAGAAAATAGAAATCCTGCTGTCCTAAATTTTGCATTTTTGTGAACTGGGTATTATTTGGAATCCAAATGAGGCTTCCTGAAGGATTTAGCAACTAGTAGAAAGACCCAATAGCAAGCAGTCAAATACTAGCTATTATTTAAACTTAGAGGCTGGAAATAAACAAACACATAAAGAGTCAAGTAGGAAACTCCACAAAGACTAAGAAGGCTTGCTAAACAAAATATTAATCTATCATGGACTTGATCAAAATGTTGAAATAGCCATAATTTGATTGAATATTTTTCATGCTACACAGTAAAACACAGAAATTGGCATCTAAACAGATTTTGAATTAGAAAATAGGGTAAATTACAAAGACCCCCCTGACCACAAAGACCCCCTGCACTTTCTTTTGTGAAAAAGGCTCCCCTGAACTTTGGCCGTTAGACAAAGACCCCCCCTAGCCGTTAAGTCAGATAACGGAATGTGTTAAATTACCAAAATGCCCATCAAGACTTTCTGCATTTTCTTTTCATTGCCCTTTTCTCTTGAATTATCGATCCAATCCAATAATTCTTAAACTACTCACCAGTGTTGGTCTGATTGCATTCAATCGTCTATTTCTTCTCCTCTTTGTCATACTTTTTTTTTTTCTGACCTTTGGTTTTGTAACCATTAAGAAACTTCATTAAACAACAGTTGCTAAAGCACAGCGAATTCTCAATCGACAAATACATTGAAGTGGTGGGTCCCTGGTCTTTTTTAATAAGCTTTAGGGCCTTGGTGGGCTTTGGGATGAAGAATGATGTTACTTTTCTAATAATGGTAGATGGGCAGGTACAAAGATTAACTTCAAAGATGCAGAGATTTGACATATGCAGTCAAGCTTCTTCTTCAGAGGAAAAGAGCTCATTGTAGAACTGTCATTGAGCAAGAGGCAGATGCACTTGGGTTTTTGTTGATCATAGAGTTCAATGAGGTTGTCACAAGTTGAATGCACTGGTGAAGTGCCAGAGTCTTGAGTGGAAGCTGAGGCGGAGGTAAGCAAAATGAGAGACAGCAGAAGTGCAGAACCATAGAAAGAGAAACCATGGTCTCTCTCTCTCTCAAGCATTACTGACTCCAGTAAGCCTCTTGTTTCAATTCCATTTGTAGTATTCTTCTTTCAATGCAAACATATCACATAATATCACATAACTGGAAGTTAAAGATCTTCTCAAAGATGTGAGGCATGGATGGCTGGTCACCCACTTCAGAGCCTTTCCTTCTCTCCAGGAAGGAGGTAGAGTTCATTAACATAATTGAATTGTACGCCCAGGGAATGGAGAAAAGGTCTTTCGGTTTTCTTATTGAACAGATAAATATTGGAAGAGAGGACTAAGTAATCAATTCGATTCTGTTTCTTTTGTTCTTTTATATTGAACTCCTCTGTTGGGCACCAGTGTGCTAGTTGCTCCATTTCCTCTCCTGAAAGTTCAATTAGCCACTTCATTATTAAAAACACGTTAAAGAAAGAATCATTCTGTTCATTGGAACACCAGAAACATTCCAACGTGTGACCAAATGTGACCTTAATTAATGAAAACTACTGATAAAAACGTCAATATTATGAAGCTAGTTAAAGAGGACAGGATTCCTTGATGCTGAAATCTAATCATTTGATGGGACTTGACCCTTTTAACAACAGCGACTGAGCTACAACAATGTGCAATGGATTTTTCAATTTATGATGCTTTTGTGCAAATTGGCCTTGTGCAATGGACTTGACCCCATAGAACAATGTGCTTCTTTCTCCACCACCGGGAGAAGGCCGGGGAACTCTCTCTGTTTGCTGCTGTGTCTGGGTGTCCATGACGGTTTAGATCAGTCTCAGTTGATCCCTGCAACCTGCACGCTCCTGGTAAAGTCGTATGCTGCCTTGCTTCAAAAAGGGAATTCTTAAACTACCATTGACAGCAGTAGAAAAACAAGCAACATAATTGACTGAATCTGAATATGGAGCCTGACTTTTATCAGCCTCAAAGCGAACAGACTGGAACATTAAGAACAGGAGGAACCCTGACGTTTGCAGAGTAGGATCTCTCCATTCCTCTGTGTTTGATTCTGGGTCCCCCATTGAAGCTGCTTGGACTGCTTGAGCTTTGAAAAAAGATTTTGCCTGAAGAATTCATCCATGGACTGTCGACAGAGACCCATCTGGGTGGGATTGTAGTAGAATCCGATGTTCGGCGGATTGGTCTCTGTCCAACCCTTATCGGTGGATGGTTGGACGGTGAATGACCAAGGTTATCACAAGCAAACCTTATCGGTAGTGTTACCAGATTTTCACAGGTATGTCAGGTGATTTTTTCTCACCGTTCAAATAATTAAGGCAAGGGTAAATTAGGGATTTAAAAAAATTTAAACAGTTAAATGAGAATTTTTTTCAATATTAACTGATGGAACATTAACGGTGGGGGGTCTTTGTCTAACAGTCAAAGTTCAGGGGGGCATTGTCACAAAAAAAAAAGTGCAGGGGGTCTTTGTCAGTGACCCCATAGTACAGGGGGGTCCTTGTAATTTACCCTAGAAAATAAGATATCACGTAGAGTTCTCAAGTAGATCCAGTTACCATAGGTCCTAATTTCATGATTCTTGGCATTAACCAATTTTATTCACCAAAGCATGCTATTGTGTTAATTGTCAAGTGAAGTCTGCATCACCAAACTGCAGTCTGATGTGATGATTCATGCAATTCCACTCTATGTGTCTGCTATACATGCAAGTTGTCTAATCTTGATAGTTGAATGCAACATGGTTGAATGTTCTTATGGATCCAATGTTTTTATAATGGAAGTAGTATCTGATCTATCTTGATGCAGGCATTTGTATGTTGTGTAAATGCTCTACCTGACGTTGGTGATTTTTTTTGGGAGAAGTCTCCAACACCTATACTAGATATGGTTGAAACGCCAATTCACTTGAAGCATTTGTCTCACAAGGTATAAATTATTACATTTTTGTATAGAATATATTGCAAGCCATCTAAAAGCTCAACTTTTATCCTCATTCCAAATGGGTTCTGATGCAGGAGCTGAAACAATTAGCTGATGAGATTCGTTCAGAGTTATCTTTTATAATGTCAAAAACACGGAGATCCTTCAAAGCCAGTTTAGCTGCAGTGGATCTGACAGTTGCTGTACACCATGTTTTTCATGCCCCTATGGATAAGATACTGTGGGATGTAGGCGAACAGGTTATTGCAGATTTTATATATTTCCACCCTTCTGAGATAGATAAGTTGTTCTTGATAAAGCAAAGTAATAGCCTATGAATTGTTATTTACAATGACCACAGGTTTTCTCTGCTAAATGTGCTAAATATGCTCTTTGATCTAAATGGTCTGATCTATGAGCCAGCTTTTGATTGTAGGAAGACTAGAAATTATGTCAATTAGATAGTTCCTATGTTTTGAAAAATGTTCTCTTCTTTTTATAGACCAGTTCCCATTACCTTAATGCGTATGGAAATATCTCTTGGTTAATTGGATGGACAAAAATATATATTTTTTTAGGTCAAGTTAATATCCTAGAATCAAGAGGTTTCCAGCTAATTGAGCTATTAGGATTGTTCATCTTTGTTAATGTTGACTGTGTAGGGGTATTTTGGTCTTTATATTTATGTTTAAAGCTGCTGATGTGTAATGCTTTATTAGTGGCTGTCCCATACTTAAATAGGAGCAAAGGAGTCTTTTTATTTTTGAATAGAAACATATAAATTAAACTTGGCCGACTAGAGAGGTGATTAATCTCTCTTGTTCGAACCAGAATTCTTCTTCTTCTCTATTCTCCTCTCTTCTCCTTCTACTTCTTCTTCTAGTCTTTCTATTACTTCTCCAATCCTTATTCTAACAGAATTCAGATTAGATTATAATATGGTATGAGAGCAACTGTGATAAAATCAAATCTGCCTAGAATTCTGATTTTCACGCATCCAGCCTTGGGTTTTTTTAATTCTTTCTTTGTCATTAGTTGGAGATAAGGAAAGGGGCTGAAAAGGAGTGATCGCCCTCTTCCCTTGGAGGTTTCTATGCCTTTGGTCAGCAAGTTCGTGGGTGTTTGCAGTGGTTTGTAGGAAGCCTCCCCTAATCGATGGAGAGAAGAGTGCTGTTTCAAGTGATGCAATGGAGTGTCGAGTGCAGCTTGATTTTCTGGTGATTAGGTAAGTGATTTTGTGCAGTTTTTCCGTGTGAATTAAATGGTTGATGTGTTCCAAGTCGTGTGGTGAAAACTCAGGTTGTTGTGTGTTAGGGTTTGTGTAGATTTCAGTGTGGTTCGAAGGGTGAGTGAGTTTCGAGTAGTGTGGTGAGTTTTCAGGTAGTTGTGTAGTAGGGTTGTGGTGTGGAAAGTGAAGAATTCAGCAACAAGTGGTGCTGAGTGTAATGCGGTATAGTGTGCAGTGTGGTGAGAGGTGAAATAAGATTTTTTTTTCCTTTTTTTTATAGCCATGGGAAACAACAGTGAAAGTAAAACTAGTGTGATGGTTCCCACYGACTACCTGAATGTTCAGGTCACTTCTATCAAGTTGAATGGAGAAAACATGTGCCTTGGGCGAAATCTGTAGAAGTCTTTCTTAAAGCAAAGAAGAAAGTGAAGCATATAAGGGAAGAAAAACCCTCTATTGAGTCTCATGAGTATGGTGATTGGGAACAAGAAGATGCACAAATTATAACTTGGTTATGGAATAATATGGAACCCAAGATTAGTATGAATTTCTTGTTTCTTGATACAACCAAAGAAGTTTGGGACCATGCTAAGAAACTGTATTCAGGACAAGACAACACAACTAGAGTATATTAGCTTTATCAGGAATACTTTAATCTGCAACAGGGTAATCAAAGTCTTGAGGAGTACTATGCTAGCATGAGAAACCTTCGCAATGAGCTGAATGTGTATCACCCCCTCACCTCTGATGTTAAAATTCAGCAACAATAGAGGGAACAACTAGATGTGACCAGATTTTTGATAGGGCTGAAATCTGAATATGAACCAGTATAGGCATAGATACTAGGAGGATCAACTCTTCCTTCCTTAGAAGAGGTGTTTTCTCGGTTTCGGAGGATTTCTATTGGATCTACCGAGAATTCTAGCAACTCTGATAGGTTAGCCTTTGCAGTATCAAGAGGCCGTGGTGTTAGAGGCGGAGCTCGGGGAGCTCAATCTAGCTGTAGTGGTAGCAGTGGACCGGTGTATGGTCGTAGTGGTGGTGGTGGACCTATGTATAGTCGTGGTGGTGGACGTACTGGAGGTCGAGATTTAGGGGGAGTTCGTGGTAGAGGACGCAATTCTAGTCCAAGAAGATGTACACACTATGGTATAGATGGACATACCATCAATTATTGTTATGATTTGCATGGTACACCTTCAACTTGGGCAAATCATGCGGTGACCAGTGATAGTAGTTCCAGACAGGAGAGCCATCCAACTAATCAAATGCCCTCTATATCCACAGATGTTACTGGGAAGGAGATGATGAGTGTTCCACGAGATGAGTATGAGAGGTTTGTTCAGGCCACATCTCAACAGAATACAACCACTCTTGCACACTCAGGTATGGCTTGTCTGGCATCCAAACCCAATCCCTGGATTATTGACTCTGGAGCCTCTGATCACATGACTGGAACTCCAGGTGTGTTTTCCTCCCTCTCTCAATGCCCAACATCACACTCTGTTACCCTTGCTAATGGTTCCACTCCTCCATTTGTGGTGTTGGTAATGTTAACATAGACCCTTTATCTTTATCCTTAGTTTGTATGTCCCCAAGTTTCTTTTTAACCTTATGTTTGTTAGTAAGTTGACCAAGTCTCTTAATTGCTTTATCACTTTTTACCCTTCTTCGTGTGTTTTTCAGGATCTCAAGACGGGGATGAAGATTGGTGGAGGGGATGAAGCCGGTGGACTATATTATCTTGATGGTGGTGGAAGTGCATTAACAACTCTTTAAACATCTCTTTCTCCTCTCTAGTGGCATTATCGATTTGGTCATCCATCACTTAGAGTTTTGAAGTCTTTTGATCCGTCGTTGTGTCATCTTTCTATTTTGGATTGTGAGTCATGTTAGCTGGGGAAACATCATTGTGTTCCCTTTAGTCCTAGGGTTGATAATCGTATGTCGAGTCATTTTTCTTTAGTTCATTCAGATGTTTGGGGTCCAACGTGGCTTTACCTGATGAAAGATTTGAATGAATTGTTTACCATTTTCCAAAAATTTTATGCTGAAATTCACAACCAATTTGGTGTACACATTAAAATTCTTCGTTTTGATAATGGCTGTGAATACTTTTATACACCATTTCAGGAGTATTTGGAACAACATGGCATTATCCATCAAACTTCATGTACCTACACCCCACAACAAAATGGAGTAGCTAAGAGAAAGAACCGTCATCTTTTGGAATCTACTCAGTCCCTTATGCATCATATGAATGTACCCAAACCCTTTTGGAGTGTTGCTGTACTTGCATCTTGTTTTTTGATTAACCGGATGCCCATGGCCATCTTTGAAGGTCACTCTCCCTTCACCACTTTGTTTCCTAAATTGTCTCTGTTTCCTCTTTCACCTCGGGTTTTTGGGTGTGTTTGTTTTGTTCATAATCTAGAATCGGGAAGGGACAAGTTAGATGCACGATCCATTAAGTGTGTCTTCCTTGGCTATTCCCGGACCCAGAAAGGGTATAAGTGTTATAATCCTAACTCTCGATGATCCTTTGTGTGCGCTAATGTTACTTTCTTTGAGTCCACTCCGTATTTCTCGGGGTCAGGTGATGTTTCTTCTTCCTCACCACCTCCTACTCTTTCGGTTCCAGTTGCAGATCCCATTCTTGTTCCAGTTGTGACCAAATCTTTGCCTCCGGTGCCACTTCCTGTTGAACGACCACCTATTCGTCAAGTGTATACACATCGCCAACATGTACCGGCTCCTCCTCCAACTCCATCACCGTCGACAGATCCGGCAATTGTTCTCACACCAGCTCCAACTCCGATTTTTGAACTTGATCTTCCCATTGCCTTGCGGAAAGGTAAACGCAGTTGCACTCTTCATCCTATTTCTAATTATGTTTCTCACTCACCTTTTTGCTTCCCATCGCCAGTTTGTCTCCTTGTTATCCTCTATTGTTGTTCCCACGGATGTCTAGGAATCCCTTGCCTCTCTAGGGTGGTGCCATGCAATGGAAGAAGAGCTCTTTGCCTTAACTCATAATCATACGTGGGACCTCACCACACTTCCTCCTGGTAAGTAGGTTGTTGGTTGTAAGTGGGTATACACTATTAAGTATTTACCTGATGGTAGTGTAGAGCGGTTAAAAGTTAGATTGGTTGCCAAAGGGTATTCCCAAACATATGGTATTGACTATACGGAGACCTTTCCTATTGCTAAGATGGTTCAATTCGTGTTGTGATATCTCTAGTTGCTATGTATGATTGGCCTCTCTTTCAGCTTGACATCAAGAATGCTTTCTTACATGGTGATCTACTCGAGGAAGTCTATATGGAGCAACCACCGAGGTTTGTTGCTCAGGGGGAGGATGGTAAGGTGTGTAGACTAAAGAAGGCCATTTATGGACTTAAACAGTCTCCATGTGCGTGGTTTGGTAGGTTCAATGAGGTGGTAAAGAAGTTTGGTATGAAACAGTGTTAGGTTGATCACTCAATCTTCAATTATGACTCTCAGGCTGGAAAGATCTTATTGGTGGTATATGTAGATGATATTGTCATTACCGGGAGTGATAGATTGGGAATTGATAGGTTGAAGATCTTTCTGCAGGAACACTTTCAGACAAAGGACCTTGGTAAACTAAATTACTTCTTGGGGATAGAAGTAGCAAGGTCTAAGCATGGTATTAATTTGTGTAAGAGGAAATATGTTCTTGATTTGTTGGAAGAAACATGATTATTAGGTGTCAAACCAGTTGAAACACCTATGGAATCAAATACTAAGTTGAGCAGTGATATGGGTGAAGAGTTTGAAAATCCTGGAAGGTACAGGTGGTTGGTGGGTAAACTAAACTACCTAACTATTACTCGGCCAAATATTTCATTTGCAGTTAGTGTGGTGAGTCAATTCATGCAAAAACCTCGGGTTCCACATTAGGATGCAGTTCTAAGGATTGTAAGGTATTTAAAGGGGGAGGTTGTGGCTTGATATATAGAAGTGGAGGAAAACTTGAAATAGAGGGATATATTAATGTTGATTGGGCTGGCTCTATATCTGACAAGAGATCCACTACAGGCTATTGTACTTTCCTTGGGGGTAATCTGGTGACATAGAAAAGTAAGAAACAGACAGTTGTGGCAAGAAGCAGTGCAAAGGTAGAATATAGAGCTATGGCACATACTACTTGTGAATTAATGTGGCTGAGAAATCTTCTACAGGAGATGGAATATTCTATTGAGACTCCAGTGAAGCTCTATTATGACAATTAGGTTGCAATCCACATCTCTTCTAATCCGGTGTTTCATGAGAGAACCAAGCATATAGAAGTTGACTGTCACTTTGTGAGAGAGAAGGTGTTGAGTGGAGTGATAGATATTTCACATGTTAACACAAGAAACCAATGGGCAGACCTGTTCACCAAAGGGTTGAGTTGGGGGAGAGTGGACTACATATGTAACAAGCTGGGACTATATGATATATACTCACCAGCTTGAGGGGGAGTGTTAATGTTGACTGTGTAGGGGTATTTTGGTCTTTATATTTATGTTTAAAGCTGCTGATGTTTAATGTTTTATTAGTGGTTGTGTCCCATACTTAAGCAGGGACAAAGGAGTCTTTTTATTTTTGAATAGAAACATATAAATTAAACCTGGCCGACTAGAGAGGTGATTAATCTCTCTTGTTCGAATGAGAATTCTTCTTCTTCTTTATTCTCCTCTCTTCTCGTTCTACTTCTTCTTCTAGTCTTTCTAATACTTCTCCAATCCTTATTCTATCAGAATTCAAGTGCAGATTAGATTATAATAATCTTTATATCATGCAGAGCGCTGGAATGCTATGCAGGCATATTACAAAATAGTGACTCCAAGGCTATCATATTTTTCTATCTCCTGAACTTTCTTTTTTGTCTTATATCTGTTTGGGTCCCAGTGGGTGTAGTGATCATCCTTTGACCTAGTTATATATATACAAGAAAGAGTTGATCTATTGTAAAATTAACTCCTTGTTACAATGGAATAGGCATATGCACACAAAATTCTCACTGGAAGGCGGTCCCTTATGCATACACTGAGACAGAAGAATGGCCTTTCAGGGTTTACTTCTCGCTCTGAGAGTGAATACGACCCTTTTGGTGCTGGACATGGATGCAACAGTGTTTCTGCTGGGCTAGGTAAATTTTATTCCCCCTTCCCCCTGTACATTCTTTTTCATCTGTGGTGTAAAATCAGCAGTGGCAGTTCTTTCTTCTTTATTCCTTATATGATCTTTATGAAGTTTAGTTTCTAGACTTCATATATAGCTGGATTTCTCTTATGCATCTGATACTCAATATGTGAATAATATCTATTAATATAACAAATTGGCTGTTTTGGGTTGTTTGACCTGACTCTGATTGTTTGACTCTTAACATATAATGTCTAACTCAAATGTCTAAGCTGATGGCTTGTTTACCCTGGGCTACAATTTTTTTTTTCAAGTACATTGTGATTCTAGAAATGTTTTGTAAACTAGAAAAAAGAATATTACTGATAAAGAGTATAAAACTAGAAAAGAAAAGCTTATTCAGTTGATCTATTTTCTCTTCTCCCTCTCCTAGGAATGGCTGTTGCACGAGATATTAAAGGAAAGCGAGACAGAGTGGTGACAATTATAAGCAATGAGACAATTATGGCTGGTCAGATCTATGAGGCTATGAGCAATGCAGGGTATTTGGACTCCAATATGGTAGTGATACTAAATGATAGCCGGAACTCTTTACACCCAAAACTAGAGGAAGGCCCAAAAACAGCAATAAATGCTCTTTCTAGTACACTAAGCAAGCTACAGTCCAGCAAATCCTTTAGGAAATTTAGAGAAGCTGCCAAGGTATGCTTTCCATTAGAAAAAAAAAACTTGGATTAAGTTATTATGAGGGAAACATGCAAATTTGATGTGTTTTATTCACATTCTTGTTTATTCATATTTTCTAAATAGTTGCCAAAATTTCTTACTAGCTAAAGGATGCATTATGCTTAGATCAATTCAACTGTTCATTTTTGGATGTCCAAATGAAAAATTAGCAAGGGTGTATGCTTAGGTCCTTTTGAGTGGGCCTCTGAAGCAGTTTGTGTATGCCTGTATACTGTGTGTAATCAGTGCTATAATATCTCCTGGACAATCATACATTTATCTCTTATAATCAGTATTTTCCGGTGCTTAACCAACATATGCTGTCTTGTTCCCTTATCCTAAGTTTTCTATCATGGTGTAAATCCCATTTATTATTTATTTGTTTCTTCCAATTGTCATAACATTCATGGGCACATTGTTTTCAGGGGGTTACCAAGAAAATTGGTAGGGGCATGCATGAGTTGGCAGCTAAAGTTGATGAGTATGCACGTGGTATGATGGGTCCCCTGGGATCAACTCTCTTTGAAGAGCTTGGATTATATTACATAGGCCCAGTTGATGGCCACAACATTGAAGATCTAATCTGTGTTCTCAATGAGGTGGCCTCTTTGGATTCTTCAGGACCTGTACTGGTTCATGTTGTCACAGAGGAAAATCAGAGGATGGAAGATAACCATAAGAGTGAGATGGAGGTCAAACAACAAGGTCTGTGTATATTTTGCCATTAATATTTTTCCATAGTCAATTTTCTCTAAGAACCTATGAAGGTTACCTATTTATCATGATGTACCTATACTGTTATCTCGTTGTCATTGTCATTGGTGGTGGTGGTGGGTGGGGGTCAAATGGGGCACAATGGCAGGGTGTCAGGATCTACCATTCAATGCAGTCCAACCTACAGTCTAGGCATTCAGATTATTATCAACTTATAATAGACATTGTTGATGTCTAACCCAGAATATCTAATTTGTGCTGCATTTTTTTTTGAAAGGGTAAAGTATATTTTCATTTACAGGGGCATAAATTCCCCCAAAAATAAAGCCTCCCCACAAAAATAAAATCAAGGGAAAGCAAAAGCAACCTTCTATTGCTTTAGAATGACTCAAAACAACACCATCAAAAGCCATCTCCCTGAACTCCTTTATTATCACCAACCAAGAGCTAATTAGTCCTGCATTTAAATAGATGGATACTAATCTAATTCCACTTTTTCCCTATGCAAGGGACAAATGGCCTCAGTCCTCTTGCATGCCTTGTTTCTTTTTAATGGAAGAAAAGAAAAAATGCAAACTAACCTGATATTATTTGTGTTTTTCTTTCTTCTCCCCTCCTATCCTTATACCAAACAGGTTATTGTAATTCGGATCCTTTGCAGTTCTACCCAAAACCAGTGGGTAGTAGTCTGTCCTGGACATATAGTGACTTCTTTGTGGAGTCTTTGGTCATGGAGATGGAAAGGGACAAGGAAATTGTGGTCGTTCATGCAGGAATGGAAATTGAGCCATCTTTTGAGCTATTTCATGAAAGATTTCCAGAGAAGTTCTTTGACGTGGGTATGGCTGAACAACATGCAGTCACCTTTTCTGCTGGATTGTCATGTGGTGGATTGAAGCCGTTCTGTATAATACCTTCCACTTTCCTACAGAGAGCTTATGATCAGGTCTCTCTCTCTCGTTCATGTGCTATTAAAATTTAGAAGAGCATTTATGTTGCTTAATGACCTGAAAAAGAATCAGTATATGCTATCTCTCAAGGGTACAATCTGGAAGGATGCTTATTCTCCTTGAATCTTGGAGGCTACCTAAGGGACTTCTACCTCCAATCCTCAATTTTCTGATCTTCAATTAGTCACCAATGCTAAGGCAGTGAAAAAAACAGAAAGAAGAAAGAGAAAAAGGGAATAGTTAATATTACTATTGACTATATGCACTGTCTCAGACATCAGATATGTATGCATAAGATTTTCACTGATGCAGACACTTTGAGCTGAGTCTCTGTGATTCATTGACACTAAAAAATCTTCACCCCCTGATCTACTGTTCTCTGTTTTTGCTCTCCTTAGGTTGTCCATGATGTGGATCGCCAGAGTATCCCAGTGAGGTTTGTAATAACTAGTGCAGGACTTGTGGGTTCTGATGGTCCAATTAAGTGTGGGGCATTCGATATTACATTCATGTCATGCTTGCCAAACATGATCGTTATGGCGCCATCAGATGAGGATGAACTTGTTCACATGGTGGCTACTGCTGCTCACATTGATGAAAGGCCTATTTGCTTCAGGTATCCAAGAGGTGCCATAGCTGGGATAAACAGCCCTGTGCGCACTGGGATACCCCTTGAGGTAATTAATGTCTTGTTGTTATTACCTATCATTAATATAGTATTAATTATCTTTGATATTTATTACTATTTTCTTTGATTGATAACTGATCAAAAAACGTCATTAATAAAAAGAACACTGAAGTACAATATAGAAGTACTGCCCTAGCACTCCCATCAATATCACAAAATAAAAGTGCAGAAGAACTGTGACAAACAAAATCTGTTTGGATCCCTTCATTGTGCCATGTTACTCGAAGAAGAATCTGTGGGATCTTTCAGTCCAAAGTTTGTGTTCTCATACCATATGCATAAACGTTTATTTAGGAATTCACTTCCTGCATATGCTTCAATGGTCTGCGAGTGCTTATTATCGGACTTCAGACTTTGAATGGTCTGTCATGCTTATCGAAATTTCAAAAGTATCGGCATGTGATAATTGATTAAGGACCATTAGATTCATGTTAGATGGATCACAGCTAAAACTAATTAACAACATTAGGTGTAGAAGCACTGAATCATTTTGTTCTTGTTTTCTTGAAAAACCATATCTATTGGTCTTTTACAATTTTTTTTGCCTATCCTGTTTGCTTGTGCCTTCTCATAAACAATTCCTAAGTACAATTTCTTCAACTCACTCTCTTTTTTCCTTCTAGATTTGGTTTAAGATTTACTTGGTTTCTCGGCAACTTGTTTAGATTCTTTTGGTCTAGATAATTCTATGCCCTGTCTACCTGCTAACTCCACCTAGGACCTTTAAAAGGCCACCAATTTCCAAAGCTATGCTTAACAAATTCTTAACCTTTATCTGTAACTCAGCAGCATTTATTGGTTTATTACTGTCTATAGGCATGCATGATCTGATTGAATTTCAGGTTTCTTGGATATGGGAAGTATCTCTCTCCCCTTAAAACCAAAAGGCTCTAGCTCCTCTACGTTCTTCATCAAAGCATCCAATGGTCACCACTTGCTTTGAAATAGTTCTCAAAGACAATCCTCTTCTCTAAATTCTCTCATACTCTCCAATTCAATTCCTTCCTGCTCACCAACAGAGGATTCAAAAGCTTTAGTATTCTGGTTATAAGAGGGTTTACCAAATCTAGTTGCATTAGCAAACAGTTGTTAGGAATCCACAGAGAACTGAACAATTCAAAGTTTCCCTGAATTTGGGGAGGTGACACAACTGAGGTTTTGATAGGTATAAGAGAGGAACCCCATTCCTTCAATATTATTATGACATCATGAATGTGTTAGTTTTGGTTTTCTGCATGTGGTATCTCATACACCACTAACTTGACACTAGATTTGACTGTGGCAGATTGGAAAAGGGAGAGTTCTTGCAGAGGGTAAAGATGTTGCTTTGCTTGGATATGGTGTGATGGTCCAAAATTGCCTTAAGGCTCGATCTCTTCTTTCCAACCTTGGCATTGAGGTTACTGTTGCTGATGCAAGGTTCTGCAAGCCCCTTGACATCAAGCTTGTCAGACAACTTTGTCATGACCATTCCTTTTTGATCACTGTTGAGGAAGGCTCTATTGGAGGATTTGGCTCCCATGTTGCACAGTTCATCTCACTTGATGGGCAACTTGATGGGAGGATTAAGGTATTGTTCTTATCCTTAGTGTTGTTTTTTTTACGGTAGTTAAAGATGGTTATGGATGGTCTTTCTTTTAATATAGTTTTCAGTTGAGAACAAGTATTATAGGAACTTTGCTTTAAGTTAGCCTTGCAGTTTCTCTTTTTTATCTACCCACGGTGAAGTCAAAAACTGACCTTATTAGGCATGAAGGCATTCATACTATTTTTCTAATATACTCATCTAAGAACAACAGTAGCATGGAAGTATGTCAGGGAGGGGAAAGAATGAAAAGCATGAATCTTGCTTCTACATGATTTTGGCACATGACAGATGAGTGGGAAGCCCAAAATGGTTGAGTTGTTCCCCCCAGAAGTACTTTTCATGTAGCCAATTTCAATTGATAACCCCCATCATGTGGCTAAAGGAATCATTTTCTAGTCATAGTTCATTAAAAAATAAGAAAAACTAGAAGCTATTATTCACGAGGGGGAAGTGAAATTCATTCTCAGGAACAGTAGGGGGTGGATTCGAGCTGAGCCGAGCTGAATAGTACGAGGCTCGAGCTCAGCTTGCCAAGGTAGTACAAGGCTCGAGCTCGAGTTCGACTTGAGAAAAAGTGTTCTATAAAAATAAAAAAATTATATATAAAAATATTTTTTATTTGATATTTAAAAAATTAAGAATTATAATAAGTAGTTATTATTATATTATAAAAATAAAAATATTATTATTATTATATGCATGTATGTATGTATGTACATATGTATATGTATATGTATATGTAGCTATTCGAGCTTGGCTTGCGAGCCTCACGAGCCGAGCTATATTAGGCTCGAGCTTGGCTCAATTATTAAACGGGCCTATAAATTGGACTCAAGCTCGGCTCAAAGCTCGGTTGAAACTGAGCCATCCGAGCTCGAGTAGCTCGTGAAGAGCTCGGCTCGTGGCCACCCCCAAGTAGGGGTGGAGCCAGCAAGCTCTTGGATATGTTTTTACTCCATGCATGATAGATTGCTTTAACTGGGACCCAATTATGATGGATAGGTAGGGGGTTCTACCACTTTCAGATCTGATGGTAGGGTTTTGTAGGGTGAAGACAATTTGGGTGATTAATGATGAAGAATTGAGATGGAGAAGCAAGTAAACAGCTTGGTGTCCACTGAAAAATGAGCAGGAAATTAGCTTTCAGCAATGAATCAATTTGGAAATAGGAAGAATGATATTAAAAAAGAAAAAACTTACTATTAGAAGTTTAGAACATATTACAGAGACTGCTTAGAGGAGGAAATGAGTAAGAGACCTGGAGACAACCAGAATCACTCAACCAAAATTTTATATATCGAATTAGCTTTCAAGGACTTTGATCTCCTTTTATCCGTTTACTGACTTATAACCTATTAGGACACTCAAACATGGACTTTATTCCTAAAACAACTCTTAATAACTCATTATGAATCCTAACAAATGACAACTCTAAACCTAAAAATCAGAAACTTTCTAGTCCCATCACTGACTTGCACATATCACCAAAATGGCCACAACTCTTTCAATATGCATTGAATTTACAAGATTTTGGTCTTTATTGGATTGGTAACTAAAAACCTATCTAATGGTACCGAAATCATTCAAAACTAGCGAAGTTTTGAACCCCCTGCAAAATAGGATGAAAAAGTGATGTTGCACTCCAGCACCCGGGATGATTAGAAAACACCAAAAATTTATGAAATTGCCATTGGTATAGGAATTTGAAGAAACATGATTTCTTCTTCCATGGTTCTTTTCCTTTTTCCATGTCAGCATTGTTCTCCCTTTTGTAATGAAGAGGAATGGGGAAATTGAGATAAAAATCTTGCATTGGACAAAATTCAAAACAAAATACACATACCAGCTAGAAGACTTGCACTCCTGTTTCCAGAAGCCTGGACTTTTTAGGTTACTTATAAGGAGTTTCTAATGGACACATGTTTCATGTTAGACACATTGCTTCATGTATCTATAAGTTGACTGGTAATGCATGTTATACCTTTTAACATAGTACTGTGTTCAGCTTTTATGTTCCATTATTAATCTCCATTGAATAACTTTCCAGTGGCGACCGATTGTTTTACCTGACAACTACGTAGAACATGCATCCCCCAAAGAACAACTTGCACTTGCAGGCCTGAGTGGACATCACATTGCTGCCACAGCACTGAACCTGCTTGGCCGCACCCGGGATGCTCTCCTATTGATGCGCTAGAGAGTTGGCTTCCTACCAACTATTGTTTGAATTTCAAAAGATGTAATATTCTTGCTTGGTTAATTTCACCATTAATCATTTTTTGGCTACCTAATTCTCGTACCAACACCTTATTCCCAACCGGTGGTGGCTCCTGAAAGCTGCTACTGTATGCTGATCTTCCTATCTAGGTTCCTTCGTCCTGTATGTATTTTGTTGATTTGTAATTTTGTATAGATATTGCCCGAGTATCTGGATAGAGTTATGATACTTGCTTCTTACAGATGATAGCAGGCAGGCATTTCTGCAAGAGGGAAGATACGAAAACTGTAAATATGTTAGATCCTGGTGAAGTCAACTATGTGATTGAATTGTTTATACGAAAAAAGAAATTAGTATCGACATATTAGAGGGCTGGTTGTGATTTTACTCTGTCGGGCGAGAAAGTGCCACCAATGGTCATAACAAACAGAGATTCGTATATGATTTGCGCTGCTTACCTTGTGCCACCATGTTAGGTACCTGATTAAAAGGCCATATATGCAGTGAAGCAATTGAAAAGTCGGTTGGATCCATTTTTCCTACTTGTATTCTGCAGTATTCAGGGAGTTCTGCTCCACTATACAAGAATACATGCCTTGTAGACCGCAAAGTACGCAGGAAAAACCATCTTTTTTTTTTTCATGCAGCTTCCTAATTCTAGCATCTAAACCATCCAAAACACACCTCAGAATAGGGCTATGAATGGTTTTATTTGAATTGGATATGCCTTGATCTAGATTTGATCCATTAATATTTGGATTCCAGTGGGTCTTATACGTCCGATTCATTACCGAAAAACTTCAAGAGAAAGAAGCGTTCTTCCTGTATACGTTTTAGATTCGTATAATAATCATGTTCATCAGGTCCAGTGAAGTTCTAGCTGATTTCATATGGGTCTCGAGTCTATAAATTCTGGAACATGTAATTGGGCCAGTGTGCGCTGGGTGTCTGGGTGATCGGATATGCTTTTATACCCTATGTAAGTTCATCATATTTTGTTATATCACAGGAGTACACATTCTAGATTCTACCTTGGTTCGTGGAGCGATTGGTGATTGGTACCACTCGAATCTACAAGCCAGAGACCATTCAAACAAATGAAACATTTTTTTTAAAATGAAATGATCACATAGAAGCATTAGAGCAAAATAATCAGCAATTTAGAAATTAGAATGCAACTTAGAAAGCAGAGGCCAATCCATAAAGTTACTAGCAAATTTATAAAGCATAACAACTCAGTCATGAAGACACGTTCAGTCTAACTTAATAAAAGCAGAAGTTTCCTGGGTTCACATTACCAATGCTTTCAAGTATTCCAAATGTACAAGAACCTGATTTCAAATAATACAATTCAATTGAAAAATACATATTGTTCATTGATATCAACAAACGAATCAAACTCTAAAGAATTTCCTTAAATGTAAAAAATAACATAGCCTTTTGAATGAATAGGACTCTCAAGAATATCCTTCCAACATGATATATACATAGCCATGTTGAGATGAGGTTCGCCTGCAAGATTATAATAAAAAAACAGTTTATTATGAATATTGTCAGCTAAAAATCAAGGCCAGAGTGGTGAATTGCATCTTCAAGTTTTTTTTTTCTTTTTTTTCAATACGAAGTGAATAAAAAAACAAATAAATTAAAGGCAAAAACCCTTCTCTCTATTCAAGCTAGGCTGTCAAATATGTCAGGTCTGAGCTGTGTCAGGGTAGACCCAGTCCTATCCTAACAAGTAACACCCTGAACCACATCCAATCCAGAATACATAGGTCTACAAGTAAGAGACCCTGAACTAACCCTATTACCATTTGGACTTAACAGGTCTGACTTGATAGGACCTGATTTTAACTAATAGGCAGTGTTGTAAAATTAGGACCCTTCGAACTGTGAAAAAAATGGGAACAAGTGGCCTCTTCAGGTCCCAGTTAAATGATAGTTTTCACAAGTTGAATGGGCTAACTGCCCAGTAAACCAGTAAACCATGACCCATTGACCATTCCAGTTTTCAGTATGGTCCAAGTCTTAGAGCATTGCTAATAGGCCTTTAGTTACTTTGAGAATAACTTTGCCAATATCTTATATACCTCCTATAGAATGACAATTTTAGACATTTTATATGAAATTATTGTACGTGAACCATAAGTAACATAAGTAAAATGTCAGGAGGTGTCCTCATTTTGTATGTCTGAGAATGCAGGTTCGAGCCTGAGAGCAGCCACTCTATGCAAAAAATGCCAAAGGTTAGTCCATATCCGGTCCACCCCTCCCAAGACCTCAGATAGCTGGGACCAACATTGGAAATGGTCTTTTTTCATATGTATATGCATATGTGTTTACATTATCAGTTTGGGTCTTAATTGGGTTGAAACAAGCAAAACCCAGTTCTGATCCTTCTATAATCAGAACTCTAAATGCAGAAACTGGTCCTATTAATAATCAGGAGAAATACAAACCCATGCTCTATGTAATAGTGTTGAATCAGTTGGAATCTGTTGGGCTGACTGACCGGGACCTGGACCATTGACAGACCTAGTTCAAGTAATTCCCCTGCATTTCCAGTTCTCTTTTCCCAAGGAATTAATATGATGTTAGATCATGGTTAATGACTAGTTTAAGAGGCATTGATGTACATATGTATCACAGAATTGTAAGGAACAGGTCAATAGTCAGAGTAACACAACAGGGTCCACCTGGAACATTTCCTATGTGAAGACAAATGACAGTCATGACTAATGACCATCTATATATAGATGGGATTTCTTTTAAAGCATTCACCATATTCTAGCCATCTGGACAATGCAATTTTTTGTGCAGTTGATATCATCCCATTGGGTCATATTTTTGTGCATTGAGATTTTTATGTGACACAAAATTGAACTATTCAGTTCCTAAGCATTTTTCATGTATTAGTATTAAAAATTGTCAGTTCCTATTAACAAGTTTATATGTTTTAAGCAAGCCAGGTTTATGTAAATGAATGCGTGTATGCATCTATCTATAATTGTACTATGTATATGTACCTCTTGTACAGTGTATATCCTGCAAAACCCAGACCGCCAACAGCTGCAACCCCAACAAGAACGAAGAAAGTAACCACCCAGGCTGACATCCCATTCTGCCTTCTGATATGTGAATTGCTAGTGTTGAGCCCTGCACAGCTTCTCAAATTACATGGCTCCTGTCTGGCAGGCTGCCATTCAATTGAATAGTTTAGAACAAAATGGTAGAAATATATCAAAAATTTCTCAATAGGAATCAGAAATTCACGAATCCAGTGATTCCTAATTCAGTATTTCTGGTGATACTTTTATGCAAAACCTCCAAGCACAGACAATTCAGATGGGAAAAGAATTGTTCTTGAAGAGTATCAAACTGATTATAAGTTATAAAGCAATCATTGCCCAAGAAAATGAGTGGAAAACATCTTGTAAAACCATACAAAGGTAAGAGTCTGTTCAAGAATATTGGATGAAACTTCATGAAGGAGACTCGAGGAAGAAGAAAATATTAAGATAGAACTTAAGAAGGTAATCAACTGTTTGCTAGGTCACTGGCCTTTGTTTGATTTGGCTTAATTTTTTAATGGATATACTTTGAGAAAGATGAAGTAGATGTAAAGAGACAGTATTGTAGAAATCAACACAACAGACAAGAGAGGGGATATGGTAATGCTTTTTTATCAATGATGGATAAATTCTAATGTTGTACAATAAATGTAACAACCTTGATCATTCTACTCACCATTTCTTCCCTAGAGCATCTACTGTCATCCACTGGATAATGTGGGATGGAAAGATCTTCTGTTACCCCAAAGCATTCTACGTCTCGATATCGAACCCCACCATCACAAGGAGATGAACATTGCATCCATGGCCCAGCAACCCACTTGAAAACTTCTGTAAGACAAAGAAATCACTTACCAAGAAATAGTTGATGTAATGTAGAAAAGAACATAAACCCTGCCAGAGCTGATCATGTCAAGAAGTATTCGTACAAGCACCTTTTGGTTTTAGCTGCATAGCTAATTCTGCACCAGTCTTACAGTAACCCAGTTTGGTATTCTTGTCAGTGACGTAAGGATCTGAGCAGTCTGTGCAACATATATATTCGTCGCCATAATCTATTTTGTTCTTGCATTTTGAACACTTATCTGTCACCTTTGGACTTTCTGCTCAAAGGAAAGCAAAATGGAAGTAAAAATCTATAATAATAAGAAACTGATTGATTAGAGGGTTGGCTCAAAATAACTTACTAATCTGAAAATTTTTCAATGTTCCTTACCTATTTTACATCACCTTCTTCTATCAGACTACAACTGTAAAGAAGAATATGCAGCATTACATTTTTGAATTTGCATGAGAATGGAACTAAGGTCAGTGTTGATATTACAATTTCAGCACCTCAGTTCCACAAGATCATAACGGAACTGTCTTAGTCTTACCATCCAGAGGCTAAACAACGGGGCCAGACTCTTATATATAAAGTAACATCATTTTTGATAGATTATATATAAAGTAACAATTGGCACTGCAAATTGTTTAGGTCAATCTGATACTTTATGTCAGAGATAGATAGGTTGCAGAAAAAATATGCAAATATACATCTGATTCGGAGTCCAGATTTGCTTTTGGGGCTAACCAACAAAAGATATTGGGTTTACCAATTTCAAATGTTCTTTTCTTTCCTTTTCTTTTCCTTTTTTTGTTGTTTTTTTTGGGGGGCGGATGGGGAGAATGGTGGAGGGACCCAGTGGATCCTGCAATAAATGTTGGCTTATCAACCATCTATTGCTTCCACATGTTGTGCCATGCGTCATAATATTATGTTTTTAAATAGATATAAACATCCAAAATATGTGATCATTCAGAAAACTAAGATTGCCAAAATGGTCGATCCATTTAATTGGTAAACTTCTGAAGATTACCACTGACAAGTAGTGTTAGGACAGCCACCGCAACTATCTTGCCACTTGCATGTGCTACATGGTGGAAGTTTGTCCATAGAAGGTTATTGAAGTCCATAATTCTAAGACTACACATTTAGAAATTCTGAAAATTGAGAATACTGAAAGGATAAATCCTTTTTATGAAAGAGAAGATACCATGTACTGATTTATTAGATATACTTATTGTGGAAGAGAATAAGAGAGACTCCTGACCTGTTTTGCAACAATGAAAGTGTGTATGAAAAGGAAGACATGGAGGATATCTTGGCTCTGGACAAAGCCCATTGCAGTCATCTGATTGATTGATAATGACATGACCCGCGCCACATCCTCCAACCCATTTGTTTTGACAAGATTCAGTCCAATAGCATCCTACAAATTTATGCAGTAAAAGAAAGATAATTAACCAATGAATAAAACGAATAATTGCGACCTGGAATGTACTAGAGTGCAAATTGAAGTATTACTGGAGGAGTATAATCAAAGACAGACAGGACATATAGATTTATGAGAAATTCATGAACTAGCATTTTGACTCCACCAAATACTTTTGTCCCGACAATTTAGGTTCAAAATGGTGGATCAGTTATTTGGTTAAAACATTCTCAAACTAACTTTATGATGAAGGTGAAGAAGGAAATCATTGGTCCTCTCATATTATCTACCATGAAGATCATCACAAAGAGGTAAGATGTTATTTGGTTAAAACATTCTCAAACTCACTTTATGATGAACCTTTTTGACCCTAGCTTCTTCCAACAACCAAGGAAAAGGGGCAGGGTAATGTGGAGAATAACAAGAGCAGCCATCCTATGGTCAATTTGGGAAGAGATAAACAATAGGATCTTCCTAGGGCAAGAAAAATCCAAGGAAGCATTTATGGAGGTTGTCACCATCAAGGTTATGCACTGGCTGAAAGTACATCATCTCTTCAAGGACTTCTCCTCAGCTGACTTAATTAGAAATTGGAGTGCTATAGCTGTATCCTCGCCTTCCTCCCCTGTGGTACAAGAATGTTGGGTACCACCACCTCAGTTCGGGGTGAAGCTAAACTTTGATGGAAGCTCCTTGGGTAATCCAAGTCAGTTGGGAGTTGGGGGTGTGTACAGAAACGAGGAAGGAAAAGTCTTGGCCCTTTACTTGGGCCCAATTGGGGTGGGAGATTCATTAAGGGCAGAAGTAATGGCCTTACTTCAAGGTTTGAAACTGGCAAAACAATGGGGAATGCAGCAATTAGAAGTGGAAGGAGACTCCAAGCTGGTAATAGGGTGGATGCAAGCTGAAAACCTGGGAGTGTGGTCGCTTAGAAGGCCTCTAAGAGAGATTATTAGCTTAGAAAGGGAGATTGGGGTACATTTTAAATGGGTAAGAAGGTCAGAAAATGGAATGGCTGACACTTTAGCTAAGCAAGGAGTTACTAAGGAGGCTTTGTTTTGGGCCTGTTTGTAAGTTTTTGATTTTCTTTTTCCATCCATTTTGTGGGTGGTAAGCTTGTAATCTTTTCAATTCTCTAATGAAAGTTACCGTTTCCTATCAAAAAAAAAAAAAACTCACTTTATGATGAACAGATGAAGAAGGAATTCAGTGGCCCTCTCATTTTATCTACCATGAAGATCATCACAAAAAAGAGAAGACAACTAAGAAACTTGATGCTTCAGATTTTTGTTCCTGGTGAATTCTATCAGTCATATATCGAAAGGCGAGAAAGGACCATTATATGGATAGTGGACACACACTTAATTTGGAGGGCTTTAATTTGCAGAGTCTGTAAGCATGGATGGCATGCAACAACAAACTTGTAAATTTCTTAGTGGAGTTCAGTATGAATTAGTAGAGTTTAGATTTTTCCACTAATTTATTGAAATCAACTGATGCATATGATACATTCTTTTAAGCTGCAATTGCATCAACAAATTTTTTGAGGAAGGCTTTAGAATCTATGGTTTTGAATAGGATAAATTCCATACTCATAAAATAGGAATTGCTAGTTTAATTACAAGAGATCAAGCCTATTAAATTTGATGAACTTCTAATTTGCACAACCATTTTTCCCAATTTTCAGAGACATGGAAAACTACATCTCAATTTCTCCCATATCAGTGACAATTACATATAGAAAGGGAATAAAATGCGGTGAAGCATCACTCTATTTTCCGCAACTTCTATTTCCTTAATACCGAAATGCAACGTCCTAAATCCGATAACAAACGCACTGCCGACAACAGTACAAGGCGCCGTCTGTTATAAATTTCAGCTCAGTTCTTCAACAGAACTCAAGCTTGACCTTCCTAGATAAACCCCAAAGTAACAGTTCAGAACTCTTTCAAAAATGAATGCAATAACAACCACTTCACATATTACACACTAAAGTTGATCTGAAGGAGATTCCTGAACAACAAATCCCAATAGAAAACCAACAGGATTCCATCAACTCAATAATTCCAAACTAAAAATTGAGCAATTCGTGATGATTATTAGAACTCGTCCAATTTATATAAACAAGAATTTAAGACAAAAAAAAAACCCTAGGTAATCATCATCTAAGCTTCGTCCCAGCTACATGCGTTCGGCTAAACCCCAAGTTATCCGAATTGAAAATTAATGGTTTGGCCGTTTGGGGACTTACCATGAGAAGGGTGATTGAATGAGATCGCCGAAGAGAGATGGGAAAAGAGAAGGAGAAGAAACAACTTCGATCGCCATTTCTCCATCTGCCTTTGACGTTTCCCGGAATACCGCGAACAGCATGAAAGCTTAGCTTAGATGGGACCCCTCCCCCCGGAACGATATCCTCTAAAATGCACCGTGTGCACCGGGACGTAATGCTTAACCTACACAACTCTCGGTAGTTGTCAACTACAATTCTACTATTACCTTTTGCGCATGTAACCTTCGATATAAAATCGTTTCGGTCGTTGACTTGACAGCGGGCAACTTCGACATCTTTGGATTTCCTGTAACATGTCTTCGTTATTTGCGACGTGTCATTTCAGCTCCAAACCTAAGTAGCGTTAGTTGCACTCATATCGTAGGCTCGTACGGAACGAGATCTGCTGTTCACACATGGACGCTTCAAAGGCACATCCACCGTACATAAAAACATCTCCCGTGTATAATAATTTATAAATACGAGAAATATTTCCAATGGCATGATAGGATCTACATGTAAAATTGGTGTAAATAACAGATCCGGTCTCGGCTCGTACTCGTAGTATAGGATTGGGATAGGGATGCGACACTTTTCAACCCAAAAAAGATGTGATACCAACAAAATGCTGCCAACAATACATTAGAATCGCACATCGGGATCATCTCCATGTATGTTTTCGATGTGACGATGTGTGGCTGCAGTGGCCTGATGAACAGTTGGGAGCATTTTGTGGATCAGATCTGAACTCCGAGGTTGAGCAGCACACATTAAGCAACAGCTATTGCTGATTACAATCGAGTTGCGAAGACACTTTAATAAAGGGTACAAAACTTTCCCTGAAGCTTCTAACAATCATAAAAGCCTTTCCTGAATTTTTAAAATTCTCAATAAAAACCTCCTTTTTGTCAATAATTCAGACAAAAAATCAATAAAATTATTAAATTATCTCTAATTAATTGTGAAAGAGAATAAAATATTTCAAAATGTTGAAATTACCCCTACTTCCCTTTCCTCTTATAATAGAAGGGAACGGCCTGAAATCCTTCCTTCGAAGCATCTAAAAAGCAATAAGTTGAGAAACAGCAAGAGCGGCTGTTCTAGAGCAATATAGTGAAAATGAGGTTGGGGGTTTTAAACATCACAAAAATGAAAACAAAGACATTGCTTGTATTTAAAGAATAATCACTTATAAATGAGAGCATCGGGGAGAGTGCGGAAACCAGAAAATACTTGAATTTGACAAAGGGAGAGACAAAAATGAGGAACACGAAAATATGTGCTCAGCAAATGAAAATAAGGGGGGAATGAAATCATGAACCCATGTTTCATCTTCAAAAATTGATGCGACCATGATTAGCCATGGAAAAGCATGAGAACTTCTATTGACAGTGGAAGGTAGTCCTAGAAAAAAAAAGAAGTGGATAGGGTGGAAATCGAGATGTGGGTATCATAGAGATATAGATGACAAATAAAACCCATATTGAGGATTCTACAATTGAAGCCATCAGTCATGGGAAAGAAAGAGAGATACAGAGTGATAGCTATAATTATATAACCCTAGCAAGTGCACTAGTTATCAAATAGTATATAGATATCGTTCCCATGAGGATTTAACAAAATAAGTATTAGAACTATAGCTTCCCTCAATTATTTGAACAATCGAATTCTAACAATAGCAACTACTGAAAATTAAAGATAGTAGAAGAAATAATAGAAATAAAAACAAAGGCAATCAACGACTGAACTTGCAACGATTTAATTGAAAGCGCTARRACTATYGGTCCACCTAACCATCCCAATGAACATCAATTTATTAAATTAAACCAAGATGATTCATTATTTTCATAAGCTGAAGTCTTTCCTAATTTATCTGATATTCCCTCCTAGGATATATCAGGCCTACTTCTATCAAGTAACCCTTCGATCCCTCGATTAGGGTTCTCAAGATAGAAAGTGCATTAAGTTCTATGAAAAACCTGTCATCAGATGAATCATGTATATATATTCCTATATACCATTCAATTCACACTATGAATTATTTAGTCTTTTATATGAATTCCCCTTCCGGTTCATTCATATAAACCAATTCAACTAGGAGGTGGCCAAGCTCCTAATTGCATTACACATAATAACTCATAGACAATATGAAAATAAAAACAGCTTGGCTGAATTAAATAAAAATCAATCCATGGTCGTGATTAGGCTTTCCACAGCCCTCGCTACAAATATATTAGTTCATGATAAAGGAAATTAAACAAACAATGTATAAGAAAGAACTCATGATGTCGCCCCATGAGGTTGAGATCGATGAACTTCTTCTCCTTGCCGTTGCCTTCCTCATTTTCTCCTCCTGCGTTGCCGACTGCCTTCTTGAAGTCTGAAGCTCTCTTGGAGGATTTCTCCTTGATTGCTCCAGAAATTGATTGCTTTAGGAGGAGGGGTTGTTTCCAACTCCTTTTTGGAGTTCTTTCTCAAAAATAGAAAGTCCTAATTCCTTTTATATCTAATCATATCCTATCTCTAATCTGGTAATCTCAATCTCCTTTATCTTTCTAGAATTACATCAGAAAATTAAATCTGATAGGACTCTTTGCAATTTCCTTATTCTTGCATTCGTATTAGGTTTCTTCAACGAATTGGGTCGTTGCAAGGCTTTTCTGCGAATTGGGTTTCTGCTGCGAATTGGGCTTCCCTACGAATTTGCTCAGACTTCGAGCCCGATTTTGACTTCGATGCAGTCCGAATCTATTAAAACTCAAAACATGAAAGTTGTAGAGTTCTCCATTTTCTTTCCAATACATCTTGAATCATCTCAATCGAAGTCCGGAAGGGAGAGTTATTCTCAGATTACTAAGCGGCGCCGAAACTATGCAAAATTACCCGATTAGCCTTGTTTTTCTCCTGACGCCTTTTTTCATGCCCTGAATCGAAATACAAGCATAATGAGTCCAATTAAGTACTAATTGAGTATAAAAGACTGAATATTTAGGGATAAAAATATGATAATGTTTATTCTCATCATAGAGGCTGAGAGGTCTTTAGAGAGATGAGTTAAGGGAGGAAAAATGTTTTCCCCCCTCTTTTTTCTCGTTGTATTTGTTTCCGTTTTATATTTTTTTCAAGGCTTTTCAATTCTCATTAGAGAGAGAGAGAGAAGAGAAAAAAGAAGGGAATGATTTCACGTCGCTCCCTTCTATTGCGAGAGGAAGGAAGGGGATGTAGGGGAAATTTTGACATTTTAAAATATTTTATTGACTCCCTAATAATTAATCAAGGACACTTTCATAATTTTATCTATTTTCCGTGTGAATCACCGATAGAAGAGAGGTTTTTGTTGAGATCTTTATAAGTTCAAAGGAGATTTTTGCTAAAGTAAAACTATAGGGAGGTTTTTATGATTGTCAAAAACGTTAGGGGAGGTTTTTGTATTTTACCCTTATGAAAAAAATATTTGAGTTAAATTACAAAGACACCCCCCATGACAAAGCCCTCCTTCCTTCAACTTTCAATGTGACAACTACTCCCTTTATTAGAGTTTCTCACTTAACTTCAAAAAAGATTCTTATTCAGTTGTTTAAATTTTTTAGAACTCCAAACTAACATTTTCTTATTTATTTGAATGATTTGTGATTTTATTAATCTTTTAAATATAATATTGAAATTCTCTTATGCTCCAATATATCTTTGTAGATTTATGGCTGGATTTAATATTCAAACGAAATAGGTAGATGTTTTTCTGATAGATATAGTATATGTTTGGCATCGATGCTGCAGATGCAACACCTTTTTCTGATGTTACTGATGTGTGGTTGGAAGCATCATTTTCTGACAAAACTATGCCTTTTTTTGTTTGGAAACGTTGTTGCTAGGTAGGACGTTTCTTGGAGCAATAGCAACGTTTTCTATTTGGTACCCATGCTCCAGAAAACGTTTTCAGCACTTGTACCTATTATCCAGTGCTTCTACTATGTATTATCCACAGCCCCAACTTGACCCTGTCCAGACCCCGCCGGGTCAAGACCTCGCCACAGGCTCCAAAGATTCAAAATTCGGCTGAGTCTCTTCTGAAATCTTCATCACAACAGTTTCATAAGCCACCTCCGGAATTGCAGCAACCGTTTGCTCCCTCAACGCCACTACATTTTCATACATACCCGTGGTAACAAAATCAGATCATACATCCGCTTTGACGGGCAGAACCACCATCTCTGACTGCTGCTCATCAACCTTTTGGTGAAACCTGGAAGACGCAGCTATGGTAATTATTATCCCATTAATTACCACATAGAGATAAGGAGGTGTAAGCCATGAGAGAAATGGCCCCCAAATCAGAGGAATTTCAGTAAGCATGAACTCCAACACTACTGGAACAAAAAGCAACAATATCACATCCCTGGATACGACTCCAGTTGAAAGCAGTAAAACCTTCACAGAGGAAATCCAATTTCTTGAGCTCTAAGAGATAACCGCCATCCTTTTTGGTGAGAGATCTTTGTGAGAATCTTACCTTCTGTTTGTTTTTTGTTTTCTTATTGGAGAGAAGCTTACCTTTTCACTGGTTGTATGGATAAACCTCTGTTTACTGGTTGCATAGGTGACCTCCGGTGACTGGCTGCACTCGACCTCCAATGGCTGAAAAAATGAAAAAGATAATTAAGATTTGTTAAAAGCACATGAGAAACATTTATGATATGGTGCACTGCGATGCACCATATCAATTCAAATAACGAATACATCGGATGTCATGTCACTGCCACTTTACGTCCCTGTTGGCAACAATAAGCTGCTGCTCCAGGAAATGCCAAATTTGGCATTGCTCCAAGCCTTGCCTTCCCAATTTCCAAGGCATGGCTTGGAACACTGTTTTCTTTAGAAAAATGATTCCAAACAAACGCATGTTTCCTGGAGCACCATTTTTCCGACGTGGCACTGATGTGGCGCCATTGCTCCAGAAACGACAATGATGCCAAACAGTCGCATAAATTTATGGTTTAATTTGGTTTTTCATGATTTATTGGAGAAAGGAGTGGATAACTTTTATATTTTAAGATGAGGAGAGACATTGATGTGAGCAGAATGAATCAAGAAATAATAAAAAAAAATTATATGGGCATTTTGGTAATTTAATGCATTCCATCATCATCTAATTTAACGGTTATGGGGTATTTATTGCAAAGTGAAAGTTCACATGGTCTTTGTTGTAAATGATA